AGATAGGACTCTTCTCATTTAATCACAATCTTAAAGTCAACTTTAAACCATTGGTTGCTCAGAGGAAAACTGATCATTCAAATTTAGCTGAGTTTTGACAAGGAAGATAGATATAGTTGTTTATACTGCAAATACCTTATGATAATATTCCTTATATATCACAATCTATATAAAAGCATAATTGTTAYTGTCTATTTTCCACTTGATATTTACAGAGAGGCAGATCAGTTTTGATTCCTTCTTAATTTGAGATCATGAAGGTTAGAGTGCCTTTAAAGAAATACACACAGTTTTGCAAGCTAGGAGAAACATGTAGTTTATACTCTGCTTTAGCATGACTTCTAGAGGAAAAGAGATGAGGRCACAGCAAAATCAAACAAGGATATTGTTTGATTGGAAGAAATTATGTGGAAAGTGGCCAAATAACGAGCTCTTCCTCTAACTATCCCTCCTGGCCTATGAAATGTCTATCACAGTTGGGGAAATGCCCCAAAGGAGCGTATTGTTTCTCCTCTTCTCCATTTTGGTCAATGAGAAGGCCAGTGAGAATGACCACTGTTTCATTCAGAAAAGGGAAATACTTAGAGGGCAAAACCTTCCTCCTTCAGTTTTAGGCACTGACTGCAGAACACATTGCACTAAACTGTCTAGTCCTTAGTACACAGAGGGTCAGCTGCATTTGTTGAGGAAGCACAAATGTGCAGTTCAGGTGTGGCTGGCAGAGGAGTGTCATCTTGCCCATCTTAACACAACATAATTTTTCCCAATATACTTTTCTTCTTTTTTAAATGCTTTCCAGTATACAAAATCAAGTTGCTCTTCCATTAAACGTGATTCACAAATACAAGCAAAACTGATGGATGAACGAGGAGACTACTAAAAATAGAAAGGGAAAAAAAGAGAATTAAGAAAAAAAAAGAAGGAAAAAAAAAGGAAAAAGTGAGACAACATGCTTTTCCCTTTAATGGCTATGAATGCTGCAAGGTTTCTGTGGTGACTCTAGAGTACCAGCTTTCAGCTTGAGAGCTGCAGAAGTTTGCTTCTGCTTTAATCACCTGCAGAGCTTTGCAAAAAACATACCATTTTAAGGCATTTAGGACTTTATGTCAAACTTCTGTTCTCTTCTAAAGAAAAGTTTCTCTTTAAATAAATTAATTTCACTTCCAAATTATTACTTGTATTCTTAATATACGTCAATAGTTTGTCTAATTTAAGAATAATAATTGCTGTTGTTATTTCTAGACAAATAGATAKGACCTTCATAGAAGATCAGCAGTAGATAATAACGTTCTAGGTGTCTTGGAGCTTGGTCTTGAAAAAATTACCTCCTTTTGTTTTACTGAGAATTCAAATAYAAATTGCRTGTCTTAATATTACRRTGGAGACAGTCATATGTTAAAAAGMTTGCTCAGTTTCTGTTCCTCCAAGCTTCAGGGTGACATTGGTTCAAAGTCATCATAATTTTTATTACCATGCTAATTTTTGCTTGATTTCTTCCTATGTCTTCAAGAAAAGATTTTGCTAGAAATGTATTTCGTTTATTTAATTAAGAAAAATAAGTAAAACAGCAAGCAAATGATGATTGTAAGAAAATATGCTGTGTCATATAAAATATATTTTAATCAATGCAAATCATGAAGGGCATGTTCATATGAAGTAAAAATCTACTTYAAGAAAGCAAATGCCATCAGTTAAAGAGTATTGCAGTCAAGTTTCCTGGTAAAATAAATGCATCCTCAATTTGGTAAAAAGTTCAATTCATTTTCTATTTAAACAACTTGCATAGAAATACTGAACTCACTTATCTTTACTTGAGATACCTTCCCAATTCACCAATTATGAAATTCTTCAGAAGSATTTCCAATTTTATGTATGTGGGCAAGAATGATCTTCTAGTGCTAACACAGTTGTCATCATCTCTTTTAAGCACACTGGATGTGTTCACAGGTGGGTACATTCRACTGCATGTTTCAAAGCTCTTTTCAGGTATCTTTTCAAAATAAGAGGCTTTTTCCCTCTTCTCTTATGTCTGGGATGAAAATAGTGTTCATACATTGTATAAATCTCTTTCAAGAGATGTTTGATCTYCAGAATATCAAGCCTTAACTTCTGAAAAAYATCTATATGAAGCAATTGTTTTAASAAACCGGAGAGAAAAGCAGTCATAGAACCACTTCAGAGTTCTGGAATAAGCTGGACAAATTGACTAGAATAAATGAACTCTGCTAGAGGGAGCTCTGCAGCTACATATTTATTCAAGTGAACATTAAAAGAATTTGCTGTCTACACACTGTTGTAAGCAAAGTTAGTCRAAATTTGGAGCTAGCAGCTTAAACAGTGGTAATAGCTAGAGCAGACAGAGCCTACAGACTGTGGCACACAATCCACAGCAACCCCATTTCAACATGCCAAATCACTAACCACAGGATCAGCCAAAGGCAACCTAAGAGGATGGGATAAAGTATAAGAAGAGGACCACTAAATAACCTCTTAGTAAAACGAACAAACAAACAAACAAACAAACAGTAGAAAACGAAGAAATCTGGATCCTTATACTACTATGGCTCCAACCTATGCCTTGAGAGGTGGGGGAACTTAGATGCTAAGAGCATAATTGCCCAGCACTTTTTTCTTTGAAGTCCCACAGAAGTTCCTTTGTTTGAAGTTCATCAGAAGCACCCACTTGAGCTTTGACACTATTGATAAAAACAACTTTCAGCTTATTGATTCAGTGGAAACCTGGTGTTGAACCCTCTTATGGTACATGTAACTTCCACAACACTACACAGATTTATGATAAGTGAACTTGAACTTGAAATGGCAACATATGTTGCACGTTGTCCTGAGCACATCTAGGTTATTAAAGATCTGTAAAATGTTAGATTTTGCTTTGAACGTAATTTTTTAAATCGAATTAGAGTCTGCTCTTAGCAGTTGTATCTTTAAATGGTAGTTCGGTTATGGATACAAGAACACAGAAAATGTTATATATAAAGATACAAACTTTCTTTTGTATTTTCAAGCCTRAATGTAAAGAGAAGCACAGTTCTGTACAAGAAATGCAGTGAAAAGCCTGATACTGGGTTAGGCAAAACATCCACTGCTTTTATGATAGAACCAGACAGAGCATATGAGCTCTGATAAAGTTGCAATTTCTACTCATACGCTTTAAGCTGGCCAAGAATTCAGCTCCTTTTCTCATTTAGCCCATAAATTAGAGTCAAATTGTCTTGGTGCACTCCTTCTGCTCAATCTTTGGGAAGTGTATTTCTTATCCACTGTTCAGTTTGCTGCCTCCATGCAGCTGTACAGCCACAACCTCTCAGCGTCTGCTTTGCATTAGCAGGCCCTGGCTTTGCTAGCAGTCAARGCAGCACAAAATTCTCTTGTGTGAAGCAGCCTCACTGCAAAACCTGTGTGAGGCAAGAAAATATTCTGACATGTTACCATGCTAAATGTTCCAGCCACTAAACTGTGTTGCTAGCAGAACTATTTAAGGCTTATTTCAGTGGTCTGTGGGCTGCACTGCAGTGATACATGCAGAGGTAGCCTCTGAATGAAAGAAAGTACATACTAAAAAAGTGTCTTAAGCCATGGGTTTGTTTTTTTTCTCACAAACAGAGAAAAAAAAAAAGTTTTCTTATTAGTGCTTTTGCTTTTAGTTTATCTCATTACTGACTACTGTCTGAATCTCCCTCCCATATACATATTACTGAGCAAAAGGGATAAAAACCCCTGACTATTACAATTATTAGTGACAGGCTTCAGCTTCCTATGCTGTACTTACAAGTAACCTTTACTGTAAAACTCCACTGAACACAACATATCAAATGGTTCCAGGAGGAGCTGATTCCTATGAATAAGAGAGCACTTAAGCAGTTATAAGGTAAATAAAAGGGCAGCATGATCGAAGTTTCYCCTCCTTAAAAATGGGAAAATGCAGACATTCTAATTTAGAAATTATTTAAATAGGGTATTTTAGCAAAGAATTTGTAGTTAAAAATATCACCAAAAAAGATCAAAATAACCAGCTGAAACAATGGCCTCTTGAGTCTAAGCATCTTAACAGATGGTTTCTATTAAACTTCTATTGCTTCTTCAAGAAGAACTGCTTTAATGTCTACTACAGTTTTATTATTATTATTATTATTTTGAGAACATACCTACAGTATTTTAGACATATAATATAAGGGCAAAACTATGCCAAAAATCTGACAGAAGCATTTCTTACAGCCTCAACCTCTACTCCTCTACTCTTTTTTTTCTGCTGCTGATTTAGGTCAAGTTTTCATTTACTTTCTACTACTGTTGGACTTGATGAACGATTCTGTTCAACAGGAGGCTCTTTCAACACAGTTCAGTTTCTTTTCAGTGTTTCCTCATGCTTTTCTTCAACAGCACATTTGAAGCAAAAGTGCTTTAAAATATTTTGTTTCCTTGGATTTTAAAAAGCACAAGTATTTAGGATGTACAAGAAGGCATCCAGCAGCCCTTATGGAAACTTATTGACGTAGAGTTTGGTCCTGGTCCCAGACAAGAAAACTCTCATGACTTTAAATCCTTTGTAAGCATAAGAAGTAACTATGTAATGTACTTATCTTGTATTATTTCATAGGAAATGTGTTCCAAAATGACTAAGTGATGTAAGTCAGTATTGGTACATTGTATTCCAGGACAATATACCATTTCTTCTTCTAGAATATATGCTACACAAAAGCAAAGATACATGGAAATAGGGTAGATTTTAATATATTCAAAAGATCAGTGGAAAAAAGACAAGGAGAAGTAGAAATTTAGCACACTCATTCAAAAGCATTCTTTGATTTCCCCTATTTTGCTGCTACAGTCAAATTAAGAACCAGAAATAGGGCTTCCTAGTATCTCTGAGTTATTCTAGGTATCAGCTGGAATTAACTGTATTTAAACTTCCATAATTTGTATTTGAATAATTTGTATTTGAGAGTGCTCTCTGCGTCTGTGTGGTTTCCCATACTTTTCAGATTCGGCACTTGGAAACATCAGGGGGATTCTCCTCAAGAGACTCTGTAGTCAAAAGCCAGAGTGATGGCTACCCACATGGGCCTTTTATTAATCTGTGACAAATTTAAGTCCTGGTTCTTCCAAATGGCCTTCAGTTTCAGCTGCTCATAGAAGTGGTAGGTATCTTTTTAGTAGATCCCTCTCTCAGTTTAATAGGCAACAATTAAACAGAATTAACTCCTAAAAAGATGAGACTGTAGACTAAAATTTCTAAATATACTTAATGTAGTGGTTCCACAAAGAGCACAAAATTTAGTGCTCTTTAGTCCAAAAAAAAAATAAAAAATCTCCTGTTTCTCTATTTGATCTCACCTTATCTAGTCTAACTTCAAGCAAGTACAATGATCTCAACAAATATCTGCCTGCAAAAATGTCATAATTACTACTAGCATTACCTTTTTTTGGGAATAGTTCATGACACTAATGTGAAAGGAAGTCAACTGAATTTCATTGCCATTTATTATTCTGGTTTTCCCAACCTTAGGATTATGCAATCAAGAATAGAAAATGAATGTGCCAACAGAGTGCAATATTTTTATGAGCCACACTTYGGAGAGAATTAAAATTTGCTGGAGGGGTCAGATTCTCAAGCTCTGTAGGGGTAGTTGTAAAGCTTATCATCATCATCATCCATTTGCTTTCTTATGCATTTATGTTTTCCTCTGTGTCCTTTTAACTTTCTGTCTCTGTTCCTCCTCTACTAAAGSAAGTGGGACTGGTCTCAGCCATGGTTTAGTGAGGCTACTGAGCAATTTCATCAATTCACCTTTACTTCTCTCTAGAAACTACTCAGAACAACCTTCCTGCTGTCCACTGCAGCATCCATCACCCAAGTGATTAAGGTAAGCAGTTAAGACAGAATTCCATATTGCTGTCCTTTAATTTCTTTGGGTAATCTACCACTTCCAAAACACATGGATGCGTGATGGGCGTGTATTTAATAGCAAAAACAAATTGTGTCTTTTCAGTGTGAAAATCTAGGAGCAGATACAAACTTATAACTGTATGTGAAACTGAAGTCCTGGAGCACATGACAGTCAGGARCAATTCACTTTTTATGGTAGATATATGTCTGAATCAATTGAATAGGAGCATGGCATTGAATAACAGCAAAACAAGATCACAGTAACCCTCTCTTACTATGTGAAAAATGGATGAGTATTACATCCTGGAGGAAAGAAAAAATACAAATCAAACAAAAAAATCTTTGTGCTACAGATAGGATACTTACAAGAGGGAGCTGAAAGCCCCACCATATGACAMCAAAATTGCTAACTAGAGTCACTCAGCTCCACATGCGAGTTTCTTAAAAATACCAGAGAGAATGCATAACGTTAAGCATAAAAACAAAATAGCCAAAGGGTRTCTTTAAAAACTATGGAAAATCAATGCTATGAGAAAAAAAAWYCMAAWWRRAWWWTTKTTCATCAGGGACAACGCAAGACTGAGCTTATAGAAGTTGTCAAGTCTAATGAATTTTGAAAGAATATTTATAGAAAAATTGATCAAACTAAAACCACAGCAAAAATTAAAGCTAACATAAGAGTCTGGAAGTCATAGAATTAAAACAGAAGATTAGRTTCTTACTAATAGCTAGAAATAAAATAGCAAGTAGAATGAAAATTGTTGTTAGCCCTCTAGCAGTAAGGATTTCATCTATTTAGTCATGCTGATGGTAGATCTTTTCATTAGCTTCACTAGCGGTGGTATCARGCACTGATTGTCACAATCCAAAAGGCCAGGCAACTCATGGGACAAAAATTAGGAAAGTGGTAYTGAAGGAAAGAGGAGAAAAAGTATTAAACAAGCAAAGAAACAAAAAAGACAAAGGCTGAAACACTCAACAAGGTTGGTTTTGTGCCCAAATTGCAATTCCAAACTTTTATGTTTGGAATCTAGGAAGACTGCTTGTGTCTTCTGAACTATTTATTTATTTATTGTTTACTTTTCATATACAGTGRGTCAAATGCTTTCAAAGCTAATCTAGTATCTTTTCTTGGCAGGGAGATTGAAATGGGATAATATAAAGTCCTTTCCAGCCCAAACCATTCTGTGGTTCTATGACTGTGATTCTGTGAGACTCTGGTTCTGTTGGACACACTGTATGTGTTATTTCAGTGACCAATTCATTGCATTTCTGTGCTGGAAAACTTTCTGTATCCCTTCACATGCCAGTATCATTCCATTCACTGCTGTCACCTGGGAGCTAGTATTGCATCATATGTTTCTCCACAGTTATCTGAAATTAAAATCTTGGTTCTACAATGTTAAGTGATTAGAATAGGTTATAATATGCACCTAGATCAGTTGTTTGCTTATACCAATGTATACATGAATTCTGGCACTTGCTGGTGTCTTTTCAAAACAGATTCATGTAGAAGAAATTTGGATTTGAAGTTATTTTATCTTGGAGATTTATTATCTTAATTTTCCATACCAAATTTGTTTTGCTTCATGCAGTGGTTTTGCTTTCTGTTTGGTGACAACAGATGCTCATGTTTTTCAAATTCAGATGATGTGAAGGTGTGTTTAGAAGGATTCCGTTTTCATTTAATCTACCATACAGAATCCGTRGTGAGTGTAATGTGTTTATTCATAGTCTGAAGAAAGGCGTGAAGAAATTTGTATTTTTCTCAGTACAAACTGAGGTTTCCAACTCCGAGGTGCCAGGAACAATCTAGAGGTATGGCTTAATTGCATAGAAATATATTTGCCTGAATTGCCATTTTTTCCCTTCAATCATAACAACTTTTTGAACTTGTGCCAYAAAAGTTAGAGTGAACTCAATGTCCAGTTTTGTTCTGGACATACATTTGAAGCTTGTGTTAGATCATGTTCAACAAAAACAAGGATACTAGGAACAGCTTAAAATCCAYGGAGAGCATGAATATTTTCCCCCGGGCACACCCCCAAATATAATACTTTCAGTAGGTTTAAGTAAGTGATTGTGAAAGGCTTCTGGACCATACAGACACACAAAGGAAAACAGGATCTAACTATTCACTCCAGAAGAAGAAATAGGATCTTTACCTTTGAGTGTGTAGAGAAATTTGTCTGCCTGGACATTATGAGGAGTGAATATGGGAACAGGAAGAAAAACAAAGAAACAATCACTAAAGTAAAAAAAGAGGGAAATTTGCCTAACGACTGAGGCAGGTGGACCTAATACTACAAGTGTCAAATAAATGAGTTGAGTGAAATACACTGGAATGATAGAATTTGCTCTAAAGCCAGGTGTGTACAACTGGGAAGTATGCTTAGTGACAGACTTGCTCATGCAGCAGTAGGATTGCATGCAGGTAGTCCTATATATCCCCTAGGGAAAGGACTGGAAAGTCCCTGAGTATTATACTTGAAACTTTTACTGAAGGACAAGGGCCTTTGGTTTCACTACAGCACAACCAAAACAGGATATTGATAATTTCTAACCAAAACACAAGGCATGTCAGGGATCAGAGGACAGGAAATATATCAGTGTTCTTTATCAGTTCTGCCAGGATTATCCTAATAATGATTACAATTTAACACAATGGTATCAGAGTTCCTTTTATGAAAAAGACTAATTTCTTAATGATTTCTGATATACAGATGAGCATCTTTGCAAAAGACTACAATAGCCCMATCTGGGATCTTTAACTGTGGGGAGCCTTTGATTAAAAAGGACTTATTTTCCCATTTCTCATGAATAAGCAGTCAATTCTAACTGGAATGCTGAAGGTGTTCTCACCTACCATTGTAGCCCTCTTCTGAGACTAGCTGCCTTTGAGTCATGGAAACCTATGAAATTAAAGAGATAAAAGTTGGAAACCAAAATAACAAAATCAAAATAGAAACAGAACCTTCGTATTACATATGGAAGTTAAATGAAAGCTGAATATTGCACATGTTACTTCCTGAGAAACTTCTACTGAAAATCCACGTTATGCTCTCAACTGGAAGCTCTGGGTCAGAGTCCCCAATTACAACACCCTGAYAGAAGATGGGGAAAAGCCATTAACCCTTCTGATGAGTTTTTGCAAGGCTAATTGTGCTTATTTTCATTCCCCRTGAACTTTTTTGCAGACATGCCCTGAACAAAAGAGTCAAACTGACTACTGCTGTTGTACCTAGTAAATTRCAATACAAAGCTGAGTAATACATACAGACACTACTACTTTATTGCCATCACAAATTGTCTTGAAAACAAGACCCAGGAGATTGTTCTTARTCTATAAATAATGTAAATAGGTTAAGTCAAGTTATGTTTATCTTTGCATGTTAGACTATGKCTATAATCCCTTTTGTTCAGTTAGCATCAGTGGCTAGAGTTTCCATTCAATTCCCATTTATTGCGAGGTAGCAAGCAAGCATTGGCATAGGACAGTATTTTGCCATAAAATATAAAACATGAGGAGAAAYGTTCCTWTTTTTTTTTTGTTCTGAATATGTGTTGTCATAGCAGGAATGTTTGATAGCAAGCTGGTAAACAAAAAGTCTGTCAGTGCACAAAGAATTGAGAACAAATGAAGTAGTATTTTGCTTTCTCCTGGTAATCTCATCGATCAAAAGCAACTTGTGTGTTTGGCTTATTTATCAGTTTGAAACTCCCCTGGTGCTTGTAGAGTCTCACCAAGAGATACTGTTGACCAAAACTGAAGCCAAAATAACATTTGTCCTTTCTGAATCCAGCTTTTAGTTTGCATGCCAAAAGTTAGTTCTGAGTTTTAGTGTGTTTATCCAAGCATAACAAAAACCCCTCATCATTAAACACTCAACCAGCACCAAAAGCAGACAATTACTTGGAACTAGTCACTGACTGAGATGTTACAGATGTCATGGAAAAGAAAACGAATATAATTTTTGTTGAGCTGTCATGACATTAGAGCRTCTTTTACCAGCATCTTTGTCACTGACACTAGTTATCTCCTGTGATACTTCAGGACATTTCTATGCTAAGCCTTGAAAAGGATTATTAGRTAGTATTGCACCTAAAACTGTGAGCACAGTGGTTTAGCAGTGTCTTAATAGGCAGCAAAGCAAGTTATTTTGTGAGCTATTTATAATCAGTCTTGATCAGCAAGTGGTTCGGACAAAAATTAATCATTATGAATTTTGGTGATTTTTAATTGACATTTATATATAATATGGATTCTGTATATTGCACATATATTGTTATCTCCAGTCCTGTATGAAAAGCAAGATCCAGAAAAAGGAGTGAGAAAAAGCAGAGTCCATAAAACCTTAGTTATTCCTTTCCCTGTTACATACAGGAAGTATGAATTTTTGAAGTAGTTCAGAGGATTTGGTGTTCATACAGGCTCTACAATTTCCATGGGCAATAAGTTTATTCACATTTGATCTGTTGAAGTAGAAGTATTTTACTCAGCTAAATACTGAGTAAAAACTGAAATTATTTAGTTATTTAATTTAAAATTTTGCTATTCAGTTAAGTGGGAAATGGAAAAGCTCTAAAAAAGTATGTCCAGTAACCTACTGGAGGAGGGAAGTTCATCTGCCATTTAAATTCATTGGGATTTCACCCATGGTACATACCATGCATGAAGGCAAATTGCACCATAAATCAACAGCAGAATGGTACCATCATCCTCAGAAAGGCTGAGGGTATCTTATGGTTAATAATAAGTAGTTCAGTAGTGAAGTTTGTGCACTTACATTATAATTCTGGTTTATTCCTCTGCTGTTGTCCCTTTCAATTCTGTCTTCCCTCCGTAGTGTCACCACATTTATGTTCCTTYTGTTCACATGAGTAAAGAAACTTCATGGCTGGATTTAAATCTTTGAAGGTCTTCTGGTTCTGGTTTTGAYTCCACACAAATATGTAAGTTCTGAGACTATGGTACAC